AGCAGCATCCTTAAAATGGGGCTAATAATACCTGCTTTCCAGGGCTTTTGTGAGGAATAAAGTATGTGAAATTACATTGTAAACCATTAAAAAATGACACAAATTTAAGGAAAAACTATTAGTATCACTCCTAAGTCTGTATCTCTCATTAAACTCCAAATTCCTTAAGAAACAACACCCTTGGGGCGCCTGGGTGGCTCAGTCGTTAAGCGTCTGCCTTTGGCTCAGGTCATGATCCCAGTGTCCTGGGATCGAGCCCCGCATCAGGCTCCCTGCTCGGCGGGAAGCCTGCTTCTCTCTCTCCTACTCCCACTGCTTCTGTTCCCTTTCTTGCTGTGTCTCTCTCTCTGTCAAATAAATAAATAAAATCTTTAAAAAAAAAAAAAAGAAACAACACCCTTACTTCCTAGCTTTGTATCTCCCCACTCCACCCCCCAGAATGCTATAATATAGAAGCAGAAACCGAGCTCTTCTGGAGCCAAGAGAAACAATTTTTCCCAGAATTGTCAGGGGCATCTCACCAAGAGTTTTACAGGGGTAATAATAGGGATCTGGGAGCTATTTTTAATATTTATAAAAGTCTAACCTGATATTATACTGTTATCAGCAGTAAAGCTTTACAAGCTAAACAAAACATCAGTGTTTTCCCTAATTTTTCTTGTTTTCCCTTGTAAATGGAATTATATAAAACAAATATGCATCTCATAGAAAAATTAATTGTTGCTTTATTTAATAAATATTGTGTGAGGCCCTGTGGTAACTGCCAAGGAAAAAAAGATGAATAAAAGAAGTCATAATCCTTGCCTTTATGGAACTCACAATCCAGTGAGGACAGACAATTTCAATGTGCAGGTATAATGTTATATGACAAGGGCAATAATAAGGACAATCACAATAAAGGGAATATAGGCAGGACTGTTAACCTAGCCTTAAGTGGGGCTGGGTGGTCACAAAAGGCTTCCTGGAGGAAGTAAAACCTGAAAAGACTTCTGGGAGTTATCCAGGCAAAGGCTGGGTATAAAAGAAGAAAAGGAGGCCGCACAATATGTCCGGGCAGAGGGAGCAATATATGCCCAAGATTCAAGGTGACAGAAAACACGTCACCAAGAAATTATAGTTCAATAGGGCCCCAGTGTAGAATCAGGGTGTAGGAGTGGATAAACAGAAGGGTGGCATTTTACCCCTAATTTTATTTTGGAAAATTTTCAAACCTGGAAAGCACTTGGAAAAATAGTGTAATGAATATCTATATTCTTTGACCTAAATAATCCAGGGAGTGGCGGGGAGGGTTGGTGGGGAGAGGAAGAGATAGAATGAATGAATGAATGAATGAATGAGGCAAAATGTTAATAATTGGTGATCAACTGATGGTAGAGATTTCTAACACTCTTCTGATGCTCCCTCTGCCCCAGTCTGTAAATGTAAATCTTTCTACGGCTTCCCTCTATTTTTTTCTCCTCTCCCTCCTTGGGAAACTTTGAAGATTAACTGGTCATAAAAACATTCTGCTGTCATGTGAGGTGACTGTTACTGTCCTTTCTGGTCTGTGTTACTTTTAGGCTCTCTCTTAAAGCTGCAGGAATTTCTTGTCCAGATAAACCAGTATTTCTCTGTGTTTCATAACCAAGCCCCTAAAGAATATTTTCAGACCTTTTTTTCTTAATTGCCTCTTCGGGAAACTTTAATATGCAGATATACTGTATATTTGGCTTTGTAATGTATGTGTGTGTGTGTTATATACATATGTATTATACATATTATGTATAAGTAATATATATGCTTTATACTTAAAAGAGTAAAATTTGGGGGGCACTCAGGTGGCTCAGTTGGTTAAGTGTCTGGCAAGTGTCTTGGTTTGGGCTCAGGTCATGATCTCAGGGTCTCGAGATTGAGCCCTGCGTTGGGCTCTGTGCTCGATAGTGAGTCTGCTTGAGATTCTCTTTCTCCCTGTGCCCCTGTCCCAGCCCTCCCCCGCTCTCTCTTTCTAAGATAAATAAACAAACCTTAAAAAAAAAAACAAAAAGGGGCGCCTGGGTGGCTCAGTTGGTTAAGCGACTGCCTTCGGCTCAGGTCATGATCCAGGAGTCCCGGGATCGAGTCCCACATCGGGCTCCCTGCTCGTGGAGAGTCTGCTTCTCCCTCTGACCCTCCCCCCTCTCATGTGCTTTCTCTCTCTCTCTCTCATTCTCTCTGTCTCAAATAAATAAATTTTTAAAAACTTTAAAATAATAAATAAATAAATAAATAAATAAAGGAGTAAGATTTTCGTACTCTGAGAACCAATTTTTGCCCACTTATGGGCAATATCACTCCCACTGAGAAAGCATGAGATAAACTGATCTAACATAAAGAGGAATAAATCAGATTATAATAGAATGAACTCCCATTCCAACTAGTTTTTATAAACAATATTAATGTATTAGTCACTTATATAAAGTAAAGTAAGACAAATTCAAAGATTTCTCACAAAAATAAGTTAATTACTAAGGCTTTGTGTCAGATCTTCTACAAAAAACTTTTTATTACAAGCCACTCGGCCACAGACACCATATGTACTATGCTCCAGTGAACTTAGTACAGTGATAAAGGACTTAATTCGCCAACTGCCACCTTCCTGACAAAATGAATACCGTAAGTCTCTGTTGGGAAAGGGAGGGGAGGACCATGGCAATCTCACGTAGCTTGGGGGCAACAGAGAGGAACCAACCCAAAGCAGACAAGTCCTAGAGAAGGAGAATGCTCTTTATAGGAGGCAGCAAAACTTAGGCAGGTGTTGGAATGAGAAGTTTGTTTTGAAGGTAAACTACCAACAACATCATTTTACCAAGGTCTACAGCAGTGCTGTTCAGTAGGAATTTAATGTAAGCAGTGTATACAATTTTATTTTAGAAGCCACATTACAAAAGTAAAAAGGAACGAGTAACAATAATTGTAATAATAGATTTTATTTAATAGATTTGTATTAAAATATTATCACTCTTAGATAAATAAACTGTAGTAGATTCATATATTGGAAGAGCATCCAGTGCAAAAAAGAAATAAGCTATCGAACCATGAAAAAATGTGAAGGAACCTTAAATGTCTATTACTAAGTGAAAGGAGCCAATCTGAAAAGGCTACATACTGTATGATTCCAGTGATATGACCTTCTGGAAAGGACAAGATGATAGACAATAAAAAGACCAGGGGTCGGGGCGCCTGGGTGGCTCAGTTGGTTAAGTGACTGCCTTCGGCTCAGGTCATGATCCTGGAGTCCCGGGATCGAGTCCCACATCGGGCTCCCTGCTCAGCGGGGAGTCTGCTTCTCCCTCTGACCCTCTTCCCTCTCATGCTCTCTATCTCTCATTCTCTCTCTCTCTCAAATAAATAAATAAATAAATAAATAAATAAATAAAATCTTAAAAAAAAAAAAAAGACCAGGGGTTGCCAGGAGTTTGAGGAGAGGAAAAGGTGAGTAAGTAAAGCACTGGGGATTTTTAGGACAGTGAAACTACTCTGTGGGATACTATAATGATGGATACGTGTCATTATACATTTGTCAAAACCTATAGAATGTACAACACCAAGAGTGACCCTTAATGAAGACTATGGGTGATAATGACGTATCAATATCGGTTCAGTTATACCAAATGTAACTCCCTGGTGCAGGATGTTGATGGTAGGGAGGCTGTGCCTGTGTGAGGAGAGGGGACATATGGGAACCCTCTGCACTTTTTGCTCAGTTTTTTTTTAATAATGAAATTTTTTTTAAGTTTTAGATTATTGTTTTTCTAGAGGTTTAGTCTTTTTTTTAAAGACTTTATTTATTTATTTGTCCGAGAGAAAGAGGAAGAGAGCGAGCACAAGCAGGGGGAGCGGCAGGCAGAGGGAGAAGCAGGCTCCCCGCTGAGCAGGGAGCCCGATGCGGGGCTCGATCCCAGGACCCTGGGATCACGACCTGAGCTGAAGGTAGACACTTAACTGACTGAGCCACCCAGGTGTCCTTCTGCTCAATTTTGATGTGAATCTAAAACTACTCTAAAAAGTAAAGTCTGTATTTTAAAATATATATTTATAATATCTATCATTTTCAACATGCAATCAATATAAAACATTATTAATGAGATATTTCACCTTCCTTTTTGCATTACAAATCTTTTAAAACCCGCATGTATTTTACACTTACACCATTTCTAATTTGGATTAACCACATTTCAAGCGCTCAAAAGCCACATGTTGGACAGCTCAAGTCTAGAGCAGTGGCAGCACCAAGCCACCCTGGATTCTTACATGATGCTTACATTGGCTATGCAAATACAGCTTCCCATCAAGCCTCTGAATCCTCTGTCCACCCTGATTGCCGACTGTGGCCTCTCAGCTCCTCTCATATAAACATTTAGGAGCGAGCCCTTTCCCCAGTCTAGCCCTCCAGATAGTCTCACTCCAGAGAGTTTCCTGATGGGACTCTGGCTAAAAGAGAGGCACTGAATACTGAAGAATATAAGGCATTTATCACACCAGAGTTTCCTGAAAACACCATGTACTCCTCATTAATAAAAAGAGAAAAAGCTTTCAGGTCCTGCATACTGTGCAAAAAAAAAAAAAAGAAGAAGAAGAAGAAGAAGAATTTATTAAAATGCAGTGCAGATTTAAATACTATCTAGAAAATAAGTACTTAAGAAAAAAAGAGTTGCTGTCAATATAGAAATAAATAACTTGGCTTTGCCTCAGTTGGTGGGGATTATATATATTTCTATGCAACTAGGAACATTATTTATTTATATTTCCTAGCCACATTCCTGGAACTAATGTATAGACTTCTCTATAAACCATGATATATTATAATCTACTCATGCTCTAAATGCTATTACAAAGATGTGGGTGTACTTCGGCTCAGAAAAGTTAGCTGTCATTTGAGTTAGAAAAGGCACTACATTAAATCATAGTCTGCCCTTGTATATTCATCATTTTCAGGTTCTATCACTCAGAGAAGTGAGACAAAAAGGCATTTATTTGCTTACCATTTTGAACAGCTCTTCCAAAAGACGGGAAAAGAAAAAAATCCTGAGGAAAAAACAGTGTGATATAACAGAGGCTGCATACATATACATATTTATAGTCACAGAAATCATTATTAAATGCCCAGCTCCGACCTGAGTCCTTTTTAAAAGGAAGGAGGGAATTTTAAAATAAAACAAATAAAATTGGTATTTATCTGTGTATGGTATTTTTAAAATTAAGACTTCCACATGAAAAGTCAAAATATTTTCATTATAGCTAAACATTTTCAAATAGGTTCTCAATATACTCTTAATATATTAATAATATATATAATCTTATATTAAATTTAATAAAATGACATGATATCTAGGATTTGATGGAAAAATACTCCAACAAATAAAAATGATAATAAAAGTAAAAGTTGAGATAAAAATGACACTGAATGAGAGATACTTGGGAGGTTCATTATACTCTCTCCACTGTGTATAGCTTATACGTAAAATTTTCCAAATAAAAAAGTTCAAACTTGCTGGTAGTAAGTTTTAAAATATGTGGGTGTCTTTGACAAAAGAAACTGTTAACGGGTCATTTCTGATTCAGGGCGTGGCACAGGAGGTTTACTATTTACTTACATTCTTTTAAATTAGTCACATGTTTTTATCAAACATTATTTTCTCAATAAAAATATCTATACACACACACACACACACGCACACGCACACACACACCCACATTGGTGTTTTGTTAAGTGTAGAGCACTCTATACTTCCTGAAGAAACTGGTTATGCATTGAGCTCTGCACCTAATTAGTTGTGGGTCCTTAAGCAAGTTACTTCTGAGCCTTATTAAGTAAGAATAACATCTAAATGAGAAAATACATTGAAAATACCCAGCACAGTGTCTGGCACAATATAGGTGTTTTGATTGTCAGTTTAAACAACATTTAATACATAGGGAGAACTAGATTTACTATGGAAATAGGTCCACCCCTAACATCTGAGGGGCCATGCGCGAAAGGAGAAAAAGAGCCATTTGCCCATATTGTTTTTCTCTTTCCACCCAATACAGGACACCCCTCACAAACCCCATCAAGCTCCACCACCCCCAACAACTGCCCTTTGACCACTTCTAAGGCCGAAGTGGCGGGAGTGGACTGGGGCAAGGTACTTAGTATTCCTTGTCCCCCGGGGTCGGGATGTGACTGGAGAGGGGCCTGAGTAGGTCCTTCCAAACCAAAGAGCCCAGAGCAGGGGACTCAGGTGCCTGGACGAAAAGCTGTACTCATTAGAGACCAGGTGTTATACTGAACCACTCAACAAGAGTAGCAGTCAGAAGACATGGCTTCATGCCCCAATTCTTCCAGAAACTTCATGTGACTTCAGGCCATGTCTTTACTTGGCTGTGCCTCAATTTTCTCATATATCCATCTAATAAATATTTACTGGGCTCCAACTTCGGGCCAGGCAGGCATCTAGATACCATGAATACACAGAGAATACAATAGATAATAGTCCTTGCCTTCAGAGACTTACCATTCTGATAGGAAACAAGCCAAGAAGATATCTGGGGGCAAATGTAGTCCAGACAAAGGGTCTCTTCTAAATCAAAATTTCCATGATTAATCTTGCAAGCTGACATGTTCATTAAATACAAATAACCAAAGAAGCCTAAGGGAAAAAATAGCATAAGTTTAATTATAATGCAGTATTATAGAGTGCAAAACATGTCTTTTTTCTTTTTTGACTTTTTAAAATTTATTTTTTTAAGATTTTATTTATTTAAGAGAGAGAGCACAAGAGCAAGTGAGCGAGCAAGCACAAGTAGGGGAGGGAGGGCAGAGGGAGAAGCAGGCTCCCCACTGAGCAGGGAGCCCACCATGGGGCTCGATCCCAGGACCCTGGGATCACAACCTGAGCTGAAGGCAGATGCTTCACCAACTGAGCCACCCAGAAGCCCCGGTTTTTATTTTTATTTTTATTTTTTTGAGTGTCGTTGACACAATGTTATGTTAGTTTCGGGTACAACGTAGCCATTTGACAAGTTTAACCATCATGCTGTGCTCACTGCAAGTGTAGTTACCATCTGTCACCATACAACACTATTACAATATCATTGACTACATTCCTTATGCTGTGCCTTTTATTCCTGTGACTTATTTCCTCCATGACTGGAAGCCTCTATCTCCGACTCCCCTTCACCCATTTTTTCTATCCCCCCACCCCCCCGACCCTTCTGGCAATCACCAGTTTGTTCTCTGTGTGTACAGGTGTGATTCTGCTTTTTGTTTGTTTATTCATTTAAAACATGCCTTTTATTTGTTTTTTTAAAAGATTTTATTTATTTGTTTGTCAGAGAGAGGAGGGGATGTGGCAGGCAGAGCAGGTAGAGGGAGAAGCAGACCCCCCGCGGAGCAGGGAGCCCGATGCGGAACTCGATCCCAGGACCCTGGGATCACGACCTGAGCCGAAGGCAGACGCTTAACCGACTGAGCCACCCAGGCGTCCCTATCTCATGCCTTTTAATATCTGTTCTCTAATACACCAGTATGAGCATGCCACAACTGCTGCTCTAATTTTTTTTTTTTACTGCTGCTCTAATTTTAATCACAAGAATTATCACCATATGCAGTACAAAATCCAATCTCTAAATGTGCCATTTTCTTTATGTTACTACCCCGTTTATGTATATTTTACGTGGAAGATAAATTTATATAAAAGATAATGTAATCACAAAGCATTTATCCACATTAATTTTTTAGTAAATACGTTAACATATCAGGCGCTTCATGAAGAATTTATGGCAAAAAAGGTTAATAATGAGCTTTATTATTTGACAAACATAAAAAAGGAATTCACAGAAAAAGATGAATAAAATGTGTCATAAAGTACCGTCTAAGAATAGTTTATATTTATGCCAAACCAATTAAGATTGGGTGCAGCTTTCTGACTATACCAGCTCTGGAATGTTCAGGGTCAGGGCAGAGTATCTGGTCAGACAACTAGTGGTCAAGTGAGAAGGGCTAGAAGATCTTAAAGAAGACTGTGGAGAATTCTTTCTGAAAGGGTGGGTAGTTAAGTAATAATGGAACTTATGTGTCATTTAGTTCCAGTCTGACCTGAAAGAAGTTACACAAGCAGAGCTCCAAAGCTCCGATCATTCTCGCCATCTCATCCTACACCTTCTCGAGGTCGAAGAGTTGCCCACTTAACATAAAATATCAGTTCTAAGATAGAAGAAGTGTGCGCGGTCCAAGCTTTCTTAGTATAGCATTTTGTTGCAGCTACTTCCACTAGATGGCACTAAAGACTCTTTTAGGAATCAGGCACTTAAAAAAAAAAAAAGTCTGGGTGGGGCAGTAGAAGAAATGAGGTTACCTAGGCTGGCAGAGGTAGAGCTAAGGGAAGCCCCTACTAGAAGATAGCTTCCAAGAAAGGAGGGATTTTTGCTTGTTCTACACAATGATCTATCCTGGCACACAGTCAAAAGCCCCTGCCCTCATTACTATTCTAGAGGGGGAGCAAGCCACGAAGACATTCTGGGAAAACACATTCCAGGGGCTTAAAGAATAGTTGACGGATAAATGAAGGTCTTGGAAGAGCCACTGAAGATCATGATCAGATTGGAGTTTCAGAAAGATCTCTGACAGGATTATACAGAATGGATTGGAAACAGGGACACCAGTTAGTAATCCAAACAAAGTATAATAAGGACTTGAACTTGACTTGAAAACAAGAATAGTGGGGATGGATGGGAAGGAGTAAATTCAGAGATATGGTGTGGATAATAATGATAACAGTAAAAAGAGCCCCCCATATCAAACACAGGCTAATGCTCTAGAAATACCACCTCCAAATCTTACAACAATCAAGGGAAGATGAAGGTTTTTTTTTTTTTTTAAATAGGGCTGAGGACCATGGAAAATACCAATGTTTAGGAGGTGGGTGGGAGAAGTCATGCTTTCAAGGGGGAAAGAAAAGGAGTGGTTAGAGGGGCAGGAAGTGGAAGGAAATTCAAGAATAGTGTTATGGCAACCAAGGGAGGAGAAAGTTTTGAGCAGAAGCTTGTCAATGTCACAAGCAGGGGTGAGTGGCTGGTTCAGTTGGTAGAGCCACTTGGTGTGACTCTTGATCTCCAGGTTGTGAATTCCAGAATTTCAGTTGTTATCGAACAGAATTTGCTATAGTATTATTTTGTTTTAAGTACGTTCTGTGATCACCGTGGGGCTGGAATTCAGTGAGGTTTAAGGTAGGTGGGCCTAAAGATGATGGGGACACATGTGGGTGCAGATTTAGAATTGAGAGTTGTGACCAAAGCTCAGGGCAGAAAGTGTGGATCTGGGAATCATCTGTGTAAGAGAGCAGGTAGAGAGAGAAATAGGGTATAGAGAGGATGGAGGGGAACCAGTGAGGAAGGAGAGTGTGAGACGCAGCCCAAGAGATCAGAAGGCCAGAAGAGTAGAGCATTTCAGAAGTCAAGTAGGAAGCAAGTCTGAAGGATGAGGAAGTAGGTAACAATAGTGAATGCTAAACAGACTGTATATTGAGAAAAGGCCAGTGACTTGGTCACTGGTAATCTACAAGAGAAAAGCCTCAGTAGAAAGAAGAGTTGGAAGTTAGTTTATGTGAGGGAGGAAAAAAATGGGTGATGATGGTGACGAACACAGAAAGTGGGACTACTCTTTTGAGAAATGTAGGGGTGAGAGTCACAAAAGTCAGTAAGTGGAAAGCCAGCTCAGTCAAGGGAGGATTCGCTTCCCCCTTTAGGACCTGATCATAACTCTTAACAGAAAGAACATGCTGGTCACGGAGTGATTGAAAATGTAGGAGCAGCAAGGTTTTGAAGAGCCAGGAGAGGTTGGAATAAAGAGCAAAGGTGTTGAGGAACAGAAGAAAGGCAGTCAGGATGAGTATGAGAGGAGGTGTGACAAACCATAGATTGGGGGGGGTGTAGAAGGGCAGGGGCAGAGGGAGATCCCCGGCAGCCAGACTTGATCTCACAACCCTGAGATCATGACCTGAGCCAAAATCAAGAGTCAGATGCTTAACCCACTGAGCCACCCAGGCACCTGATAAACTGTAGATTTTTAAGTAGAAAGTGAGGGAGTTCTCCAGATAGCCTTGCTTTTCTCACTCAATTAAAGGCAGTTACCTGCTGAGTATATAAGTGATTAGATGCCTAAGAAGCTAAGAAAGGAAGGGCGCCTGGGTGGCTCAGTTGGTTAAGCGACTGCCTTCGGCTCAGGTCATGATCCTGGAGTCCCTGGATCGAGTCCCGCATCGGGCTCCCTGCTCGGCGGGGAGTGGGCTTCTCCCTCTGACCCTCCCCCCTTCATGTGCTCTCTGTCTCTCATTCTCTCTCTCTCAAATAAATAAATAAAACCTTTCAAAAAAAAAAAAAAGAAGCTAAGAAAGGAAAGGGAGGTTAGGGTGGAATCTTAAACATGGCATCATAAGACAGGAGTTCAAGTCTCAGACGTGTTACCGTGGGCTGCCCACCAGATCTCTCTGAGACTCCGTCTTCCTCATAGAGTTGTTAAAAGATTAAGTGAAATAATGCACATGTAACGTATAAAGCACTTCTTAAACAAGAGAAACTTGGAACACCTACCATGGGAAATGTGATAGAACATGAATAAGAAATGAAGCAAAGCATCACCAAGTGTCAGGTGAAGTTCAGAGCAAGAATATAGAGCAAACACAAGTCTGCACAGTTTTTGCGACTTACTCCAGCATACCAGAGTGTAACAAGCAGATTCTGAGTCAGAGAAGGTGAGGAAAAGAAGGAGAAGCTGAAGAAATCTAGGTAAGGATTATTTTAAGACCTTTGTAGGCATATTTATTTTTGGAAATCACATGTAATTTTTATATAAAAGTGGCATTTGGGGATGCCTGGTGGCTGTCAGTTGGGCGGCCAACTCTTGACTTTGGCTGGGGTCGTGATCTCGGGGTCCTGGGATCGAGCCCCACGTTGGGCTCGGTGCTTGGCACGGAGTCGGCTTGAGGATTCTCTCTCTCTCTCTTTCCCTCTGCCCCTCCCCCTGCTTTGCTCGTGCATGCTCACTCGCTCGCTCTCATAAATAAATCAATCTTAAAAATAAATTTTAAAAAAGCGGCATTTGACTCATTAACATGTTATATTTTGGAAATGGCCAAACACTTCAATTTCTAAAAATTTTTATAGTTTTCCTATTTTAGGGTCAAGTTTTATTTCGTTTGGTGTTTCAGATTTCCCTATTTTTGTAAGCTTAGGCTCCAGGCACTGTGCCTATGGCATGAGATGAGTAATGGAGACATCAATGAAAGAGCTGCTCGTTGGGTCCAAATCAAGTAGGGAAGGTGATAAAACCAGCAGTGAGAGAATCAGGCATACGAGACAGGCTTAAAGCGACCGGAAATCATAAGAACAGTAGAGAGTAAGTGCCGGAGTCCAGCTCCAGCAGGGGAGGGGTCCTGGAAGGAAAGGATGGCCTCGGCGAGCGAGGAGACACGGACACAGGATCAGGTTGCAAGCGTCTCCCTCCCGATAGCCTCGGAGGGACAAATTTTTTTATTCATTAGAATGTTTCTTTGTTTTTCCATTCTTTCACGTGATTTTATTTTTTACATTTTCTCACAAATCATTTCGGATTTAAAAAACAGCATGACCGTGCGAGACAAAGCGTGACCTATAAAGGTTATCAAAAGTTTATTCTTTCTCCAAAGGCAGCTTACCATGTGTGCACCCTATCTTATCAATGTACTTATTCCATTTCTGTATGTTTTCTTCTCTTGTCTTTGCTCCGTAGACACCACGGAGGATCACTCCTCTTAATCCTTTCCCAGAGGCTGTCAGATGATGCCCGCCCCCTTTTTTCCTTTAATCTTATACTATTTGTTCATGTCCTCATCATCAACTCCATTACAAGGAATGGGAGGAGGAGGGGCAAGGAAGTTAATCCTACACCAGGGCCTTGCCTCGAGGGGCATACCAAAGGTGGCCTCCTATGTTGTATACAACGTAGGGAGGTCCCTGTACTGTAGGAATGTCGTGAGATTTTTCTTTCCTAGAATCCTCATGTTTCAGAGGTGCCTGAGGAATCTCATCAATCGGAACTCTTACTGGGCCTGGATCCAACAGCTCCCTTACAGATTGGAGGACCTTGGGTATTTTTACTTCTTGGCCCATCGTCAGCCTTTTTGGAATCAGTTTCATTATGATTGCTTGCATGGGCATAACTGAATTTATAAATCATTTTATCATGAAACCCCAGAATTGATTATAAAGATTGCCACAAATAAAATGAAAGGAAGTGGCAGGAGCCAGCTGTGGAGTCTCCTGATTTTTCAGGATTGTCCCTCATACGTGGACTTTGTCAAACAGCATGAGTAGCTTGGCTCGCGCCAGGTTAAGGAGCTAGAGTGTTACCATTTCTGGAAATTGTAGAGTTATCGGTCCCAGATCCCAGGTGTGGCAAAGCCCCCACAGGGCCGAATCAGGGGACTCCTGGTAAGGGTACTTGGAGGAGGAGACAAAAAAACTGTCCAGGCTGCCTGACGCGTTCATCTGCCCGATCAGTTTGTGAGCCCACAAAGGGTTCATCCCTCTATGACATCCTCCACTCCCACTGTGACCAGTCGCAGGCCCTCCCCCATGACCAAAACGGCGGGACACACGTGCTCCGTTTCTGGTACACAGAACTGTAGAATTCTGGGTGACAAATCCTTAAGCCCTCAGGTCTTCCGCGCCCCTGGCCCCGAAGGGAAACAAGGGCTTCTCCAGCCCCGGCGAACCGCGAGCCGAGCTCCCCCAACGGCCAGCCCTCGGTTCAACAGTCCACCAGACGGGTCCCCGGAACCAGGGCCTCAGAGCCCTTAGTCCCGGGAAACGAAGCTCTCGTAGCCCGTGGCTAGGCCTGGCGGATTCCTGAACTAAAATAAGCTGGGGAGGCCCAGAGGGGAACTCGCGGGTTCCCACCGGCCGAGCAGAAAGGTCGCCTGTTGTCACGTCCGAAGCCTCTCGGACGAGGAAGACGCCTCGTCCTACAACTCCCAGCAAGCTGTGCGCGGAGCTCGGGGCCCACTGACAGCGCCACCCACCAATGGGAAAGCCCAGTCTGAGTTCGTGGGCCCAATCCGAGGGCCCAAAGGAGGTCGTCCCCGGGGCGTATCAGCGCGGCTTTTTAAGTCCTCTGGCCTCTCTGGTCGCTACAGCGACAGAGAGACACCGGAAAAGGGTGACGCCGGCTATACTATGCCGCTCACTCCCAGCCTCGCTCTTTTCCTCCCCTCGGCCCGAGCCCTCCGGCCACCCGACGACCCCCCCATACCCCCGCCGTTAGCTTGGTCCCGCCCCTCCCCGTCGGAGTGGACTGGCGATTGGATGTTGGTGGTGTCACTCTGGTGGGAGGCGGGGCCCCCAGCGGCGAGGGCCGCCCTTCTCGGACGGTGATTGGATTCCCCTGAGTAGACTCGGACTGGGATTGGTGCGAGGAGGGGCCAGAGCCTTGTGGGCCGCGGTGTTGGGGAGGCGGTGGCCGTCCAGGAGCCGGCGGGAGGCATAGCTCCTTGGCCGGCCGTGTGACGTCCGCTCAGGGCCGGGTCGGGGGAGGGAGCGGGAGCCCCCCCCCACCCTCATCACGCGGGGGCGGGGGTGGCGCTTGTCGCGTGTCGGGCCGGGGCCAGTGGGGCGGGAGGCGGGTGGTAGTGGAAGGAGTGAGAGGTGCAGGGGTCCGGGAGTTGGCGGCGGCAGGACCCCTCAAGACTTAGACCTGGCAGCGCTTCCGGGGAGGAGGACTTGGGGGGCACAGGAGGGCGTGGGCGCGTCTGGTATGGGATGCCATGGAGAGGAGGGGGCCCTCCTAAGTAGATCTGTGGGTGGTTCCTTTGTCGATTCCTCTTCTACCATTTTAACCTTTGAATTGCCGAAGAGAGAGTCCCCATGGTCTCTGCTCAAATTCTGCAAACTTTTTCTTTGGGTGGGCTTAATCACCCACTACTTCATTATAGAGCTGCCCACCGCCTTTTGTGATACTGGGCACAAACGTGGGGAATATGTCAGAAAAGAGGAAGCCGCTGCTGGGCTTCGTGGGCAAACTCCCCAGTGGGACTGCGCTTGGGAACTCAGGCAAGACTCACTGCCCTTTGTGCATGGGGCTTTTCAAAGCCCCCAGGCTCTTGCCTTGTTTGCACACAGTTTGTACCACGTGTCTGGAGCAGCTGGAACCCTTCTCAGTAGTGGACATCAGAGGGGGAGACTCTGACACAAGCTCTGAGGGGTCAATATTCCAGGAACTCAAGCCTCCCAGTCTGCAGCTGCAGATCGGTATCCTCTGTCCCGTATGTGGTGCTCAGGTGGACCTGCCCATGGGTGGAGTGAAGGCTTTAACCATAGACCACCTGGCCATGAATGATGTGATGCTGGAGAGTCTTCAAGGGGAAGGCCAGGGCCTGGTGTGTGACCTGTGCAGCAACAGAGAAGTGGAGAAGAGATGTCAGACCTGCAAAGCCAATCTCTGTCACTTCTGCTGCCAGGCGCATAGGTAAAGTTGGGATCCCCCACCCCCACCCCCCTCCTTGCAGCTTAAGAGCAGAATACAAAGAGGTGTCAAGCCAGAAATCCCTGGGTGAGCAGATGGGAAGGAAAGCTCTCTCAAATGCCCTGTAAGGCCAAAGAGAGTATACGCTGTGATAAATACTCCAGAGTGGTAGTTAACTCCTGCAGCCTTACATAATACCCCTAGTAATAGTAGAAGCAAAGGTTTGTGTAGCCCTTTTCAGTTTGCAAAGCACACTCACAGTTTCCTTGGATCATCAATCCTTTGTATGGTGAATAATTGTGGTGGGTGCTGGATAAACAGAGAAGAATGAATATAATAGCATAGCCCCTGGCCTTGATCGCATTTGATGCCTTGCAGCTCTTATAGAAAAGCAAGCACTGTTTTCACTCCCGTTTATTATTTGAGGAAACTGAAGCTCAGCAAAATGTGATTTGACAAGGTTCCACAGCTGGTAAGTAGTGTATAACAGAACCCAGGTTTTTTTGTTTTGTTTTTATTTATTTATTTGACAGAGACACAGCGAGAGAGGGAACACAAGCGGGGGGACCGAGCAGGGAGCTCCATGCGGGGCTCAATCCCAGGACCCTGGGACCATGACCTGAGGCCGAAGGCAGACGCCTAACGACCGAGCCACCCAGGCGCCCTCAGAACCTAGTTTTAAATCCAGGTCTTCTGACTGCATTCTGTGCTCTTTCTGGTAATCCATGCTGCCTTCCCAATATAAGGTGCTATTTGGCGGGGCCCCACCGCAGCCTTGACCTTGTACCCTAGAGTGACTCTGGAGCTTGGTGATGTGGGCCGATAGGTGCTCGTTGGGGTGCAGATTTATGTCTTTTTTGGCATTTGATGAATAGCCGGTCACATGAATCACTCTTTGTCCCTTCTCTGCCCCCTCCCCCATTCCAGGACATCCGAATTTAAAATAGCCAAGATTTTGGATTTAGCTTAAAATAGTTTTTAAATTCTGCCCTCCATTTGGTTTCTGGTCTCACCAACAGAGCAAGTTAGTCTTCAGTCTTCCTATTTTTAACTTCTAGTTATGACTACCTTTGCTGCCAGCTAAACAGCTGACCCTGTTTTTTTCTACAGCCACTCTTCCGGTGCCAGAATAGGCATGCGAGCTCTGAGGTGGTCTCCTGCTACCGGGGGATCTCTCAACAGTCACTGGGTTTCCCAGGGATTCCCCTGAATCTCTAGAGGGCTACAGAAAAGGGGAATTAACGGAGAGCTGTGATCCTACTGACCATTGATTTCAGTCTTTCTAATGCCGATGACTCTTGGGGAAAATTCTTAGCTTGCTGCTTTGGGTGATGCAATCTCTGGTCAAAGGAAATGCTTTACCAAAATCTCAAGTGAAAGTGGAGGGAGACTCTGTCGGGGCCAGCTGGACACTATGTAATTGCCGGGGGTTTATTGCTGTGCCACGCAGCACAGTTTCTGTCTCTTGGTGCTGGATTCCCACCATGCTCTCACCTCTAGCTTGCTGAAGGAGTAGGCCGTGCCTCTTGTCTCAACTTGCCAAACTAACGCTTCAGAGAAAGTTCCAGGCCGTAGCCTTCGTGTTGCAGCCTTTGGCAAAGTCCCGTCCCAGGCCCGAGAGCCATAGTCTACTATCATTTTATTCAAGGTAGTAGCTTTTTCAGGTAGGTGTTACTCCCTCCCCATACAGATGAGGAGGAACTGGAATCCGAGAGGATCGCATAGTTAAGAGGTCAGAGCAAGGGACTGAACTCAGATCTCTTTGACTGCCGAGCCATGCACTGAAAACTGCCAGATTGTTTCCCAACCGAATCGTCCCCTAATTTCCTGTCCCTGACTCTGTCCCCAGGCGGCAGAAGAAGACAACTTACCATACGATGGTGGACCGAAAAGACTTAAAAGGCTGCAGCAGGATCGGGAAGCCCGTTTTGTGTCCTGCGCACCCTGCAGAGGACCTGAGGCTGTTCTGTGAGCTCTGCGACCAGCCCGTGTGCCAGGACTGCGTGGTGGGGGAGCACCGGGAGCACCCCTGTGACTTCACGAGCAGTGTTACCCACAAGCACGGGGACTCGGTGCGGGAGCTCCTCAGAGGCACGCAGCCCCACGTGGAGGCGTTGGAGGGAGCCCTCGCACAGATCAAAGGGATGAACAGTGCCCTCCAGGCGCAGGTGGGGGCTGTGGCCGCTGACGTGCGAACATTCTCCGAGGGCTACATCAAGGCCATTGAGGAGCACCGGGACAAGCTGCTGAAGCAGCTGGAAGACATACGGGTCCAGAAGGAAAACTCCCTACAGCTGCAGAAGGCCCAGCTAGAGCAGCTGCTAGCTGACATGCGGACTGGTGTGGAGTTCACAGAGCACCTGCTGACCAGTGGCTCAGACTTGGAGATCCTCATCACCAAGGGGGTGGTAGTAGAACGGCTCACAAAGCTGAACAAAGTCGAATATAGTATCCATCCTGGAGTAAACGATAAGATATGCTTCTCTCCTCAGCAGAAAGCAGGCCGGTGCCGTGGCTATGAAGTTTATGGGGCCATCAGTACCAAAGAGGTCGATCCAGCCAAATGTGTCCTTCAAGGAGAAGGTAGGAGGCATTTCCTGCTGGCCTTGAGAGGGCAGTGGACGGGGACATGGTGTTTAAAGAGGTGTGGCTCTTTTAGCTGGGGCCTTCATCCAGCTAGGAAGAGTTTCCTACCGACCAGTTTACCGCGGGAGAGAGCCATACTGATCTAAAGGACAGTGACCCCCTCCCTCGCCCTTTCTTTCTGATTCGTTCTGGCCAGGGTGCAGTTAGTACTCATACAGGGGTGAGGCTTGACCCTTTTCCAGCTGAGCAAAGTAGTAACTAGCAAGGATCTCAAAGGAGCATGCTGTGTCTATCAGATGATCGAGCAGAGGCAGTGCCCAAAGACGATACCAGGATAGGCCGGGGTGAAATCCTGCCTGCCTGTAGAGGAGCATGGCAGGGCCCCAGAGGGCTTGGATCATTCCGAAGAGAGTTTCAGAGGAGTGAGGAAGACAAGGTTAGAGCGTACTTTCTTCTGTGCCCTTCTTGGTTTATGTAAGCCACATCTTGACATTTAAAAGATTAGGCATTTCATTCGGTAGGGGGAGAAACAATTTCCTTTGGCCCTTCTGTTCCTAAAGGAGGCAGT